TGAAAATGCACAACAAGCACAAACACGGCACGGCACGACACGACACGACAAGGCCAGACACGAGGCGGCGCAACACGACACGGACACGAGCCGGCACGAAGAAGGAAACGACAATTACGGACGAGTCGCCGGTTAGTTTTTCCTACCGGCAACTCAGTTGCGGCCGGGCAATCGTCGGGTCAACAACGGTCCCGAGCGCAGTTATCGAGCGATGAGCATACTGTGTTACACTGTGTTTACACCGGGGGGACACTCCAAAGGACACTCTTGTAGAACCTGTGCAACTTCGTATACGTATACTGAATGTATCCTGAGTGTATCCTATCCGGTATACCTTCAGTATACGTAACACGAGGAAACACCAGCAACGCGGGATGTGTTTTGTATATATATAAATTTCGATAAATAATACACTGAAAACACTTTGTCACACTTGAGCAATCTGTTGCACTTGTTGCCATTCCACAGCACATGATATTGTTAATTAAATTGCACTAAATAATACGCAAACGTGTTTTTTATTCATTCTCTCGCCTCATGTGGCATAAGCGAACACTTTTCAGACTTTCTCATGCCACCTGTTGCTGCCGCATTTGATTGACGGCTCGCTCAGAGAACAATGATGAAACAGCTGACTTGCTGCCGGACCCATTCCATGGACTTGAATATATTTGTCTCTTCTAACTTGGTCTCTGACAGAAATACTGCTGGGCAGTCTCCTTCAACTGGTTCTTTTTTACATTTGTTGTATCAAATGAGCTGCCAGTAACTATTTTAAGCACTTCATAAAACAGCTGGTCAATTTAAAAAGTTTCCTTTCGTATTTCGTATTTCGCATCACAATTTACATTTTTTCATTCAAAGGAACTATTTTTAGCACTTCCTAAAAATAATATACAAGCATTAGCGTCAGACCCAAAAACCGGATCGCTAAATCCGGCCAAGTTTGATTATTTAATTTTTTCCAACTTATAATTATTAATTTCTATTATTTAAATATATATATTTATAATGCATTTAAATATTTGATTTAATTTGCGATTATTTTTTGAATGGTAGAGGTCTAAAAATAATATTTGTTATTGACTTTTGCGAAATATTGGAATTTCAATAATTCCAATAATTTGTGTTATTAATAGTTAGTATCAAGGCTTACTTAGATTTTAAATGATTAGATTTTCAATTCAGATACTATATATATTTCTTTTAATTTAAGTCGAATTATTGGGAACACGGTGGAATTTATCAATAAAAATAATGTAAAATTGATATAGCAAGACTTAATAATGGTCAAGAATATTTATGGTTTATGGAATCGGAAGAGAGCATCTCTCTTTAGCTCCTTACATAAACTGGAACAAGATTTTAATATCAATTACTCTTATATTTAACGTGTACTTAAAATCGATCTTAGAGATTTATCACATGACAAAACACCGTTTTAGTGAGTATATTGAGGATTTAAATTAAATTCGAAGCAATTAAACTTATAGTTATTTTGGTTAATATTTTAATAATACTAAGTTATATAAACTGGTACTAGGTATAAACACAATTTCAGAAAGGATAAGGGAATATTTTGGAGATGATTTTTATGTTACCTTGAAGCTGTTACACACTTTATGACACTATGAATATACCCAGCGAAGGGTTAGAAGGTTTGTTGCAATTCATTTGTCAAGTGACACAAAAGAACCAACATTTTTCGCTATAATTTTGTATGAATCAATAGGAAGGACCTTTTTTTGTTGTTAGTCAGAATCAACAGTTCAGCCTAAAAATCTACGCTCTTTTATTAGATATAGGAGATACTTTGCTTCAGTTTAAGGCCTAAAGGGTAAGGAAGTAATGGAATACAGTTGAATGTAAATGACAAACTAAGTCGTAGTTTTTGTTTTTTAATATTTTATTTATTTAATGTAAATTAATAACAGTCCACAGTTTTTAAAAGGGATTTAATAAATAAAAACTCAAAATACATTTAAAATTTATGTGACGAATTAAATTATACAAAATTAATAGAGAGAGCAACTTATTTAAAATTAATATTAAATAAAAGAGTAAGGGATTTAATAAATTAATAAATTATAAAGAAATCATGCGTGACATAACTTAAAATAATATGAATATTTTTATCAATGCTAGATGCAAAAGAAGGAATCACCCCATATAATATTAAGATTCTTGTTCTGTCTTTACGATTTAATTTTGTTGCTCGACGATGCCATCAGATTATATTTTTAGTCTCTCATATTTTTATTAATTAGCGGTTATTTTCGGAGTATACTTAAGTCGAATTGGTGATATGTTTGTTGAAGGTGAAGTAAAAATGCTTACGATGTAAGAATACACACGTTTCTTTTACAGAAAAGCAGAGCTTATTGCCTATTTCTATAATTCATCTGTTAAATAAAATAGTTTCATTACTCTACGGATAATCGGGCCTATTACTTGGGCTTAGCGCTGTTGGCGAGAGTTTCCGCAAGCTGTTCAGCGCCATCTGTTGCTAAAGTGTCGCAACCTAGCATGAATGCATTCTGTTGAGTGCGCAAAATCTTATACTCGCATGCGAAGATAAGGGATGAATACCCATTCTTATCAGAGTAAGGAAAAAATACACCAGTTTTCTAAAGGCCATAAAAACGTTATGATTGATGACTGTTATATGTGCGAATCTACATACAGGCTTATAATTCTTGAATACTTAACAATAGCAGATTTAAATGCCTAAAATTTAATAATGTGCATATTTTTAGACGCATTACCTTCATTCAGTTAGCTTGAGCTAACCGCTAACAGGCAAGTGATTTTGTCGATCATATTGTCAACCGAGAAATCATTGAACTTCAGCAACTGAACGCATTTCCAATGAGCCCCATTGAGAGGGGGAAGGAGTGACGCAGGCGGCGCAAAGAGGAAAAGAAACAGACAACTTCAGAGAAAGAGAGAGAGAGAGAGTAGAGATAACGAAACGAGAACGAGAACGAGCAACTTACTTGAGAAAAACAAGAAGAACAACAACAACAAGCAACGCCTAATGAATTTATGAACATGCGGCGCTTTAGTCTCGTTTGCCAGGCACGCACGTCAACGTTGCCGTAACCCCTCCCCTGCCCTGCCCCGTTCCTTTCTCCATTCAACGTTCTTCCTCTCCCCCAGCGCTCCTCCTCCTCTTCCTCGTCCTCAAGCGAATGCAGCCGGTTGTCATGGCAACAATGGCCGCTGCGAAGGAGCGCACAAAGCGCAGAGCAAGAACATTTTATTCGGCCATATTTGATTTTGGAAATACTGAAATTGTTGTTGCTGTCATTGCCACTGGTTGTCTTTCACATTCTTGTTTTTGTTCTCGTTCTCGTTCTCGTTCACGTTCTCCTCTCCTCTGCCCGCTCTCGATTTTCATTTTTCCCGTTTATACTCTCGTGTTTGTTTGGTGTTGCCGGGGTGGTTTTTGCTCCGTTCGTCATTTCCCCGGGGCACTTTCAGATGTTTTAGTATCTGTTTTCCATTTTCCATTATTGGCATTCAATTAAAACTTTCTTCACCCATCTATGCACACTATATGCATATATATATATGTATATATATATACATACACATATACATAAGAATAGAGAGCATGGAATTTAGAGAAATAAAAACACAAAACACATATGTAAATCAGTAAGTTCGTTGCCACACACTCTGATTTAGTCCCCCGCTCACAGCTTCTATGTGTGGATATATGTGTGATAGCCACAACAAAATCCACAGAAATTTTACGTGATTTTATGATGATCGTCAGTCAGATTTACGATTCGGCAATTAAGGAACTGTGCGTTAAACACGTCTTTAAAAACAAATAAATCACCTCGAGATGGTCTGTCACGCGTTAAGATTTATATCAAACACACATATGTATGCCTCTCTATACATTTGACTGTAAGTTTCGATATATTTAATATGCAGTGGACGTTTATACGCATAAAAGGCTATCGATTAACTATAAAATTGACGATTTACGATTGCCGTATTGCTATCCGGACTGGAAGCTCGCAAGCTTTGTCTTTGGGTTAGGTCGCAAATTATAAGGAATTAAATTTATCGAACAAAAAAGATTAATTTTCGTAGCGAGCGATGGCAGATATCAACATTAAAATGCCAGTGAGAAAATAGTTGTAAAAAATCAGGGAGTTATTATCTAATAAAACTACGAAGTACTCAATATGAGTCGCGCTTTCGAAACTCACTAGCGACATATGGATTATTCAGTTTTTATCTAATTCATTTATTCACAGCTGTGAAAAGGGGAAAAATTCAAATGGTGTCTATATTATAGATGTAAGTTTAGCGAACCTATGAATACGTCTTTAGAAGTCGAAAACTCTATAAAAAATATGAAAGAAACCAAGTAGTTTATTTTATTTACCCGTTTCCTTTTTATATATCAATATCTATATCTATATCCATGGCTATATTTATATCTGTCTCTATATAAAAGATTTTTATTTCACTGGCGTTTCACATTAGGAGTTGGAAAATGTTCATGATCGACTTGAAAGTCCATGTGGCCTTTTAAAAATAGATCTTATCGAGCTTGGAAAATGTGGAAATACCGTTTATTTTCCTAATCTCCGTTTTGATCGATAAATCAAATTATTGGAGCAAAAGTATAATTTTCAGATTAACTGTTTGACACGTCGAATTCTAATTCTTTTTTTTTAAGTTTTCCTATATTTCAATATTTAAATGAATAAAAGAAAAAAATTGTATGTTCCCAAGTACTCTTCTACTTGTTTTAAAAATATCTCTGAATTTGAAATTGAAAACTTTAATTTCGCGCATACAAAAATACTAAATTTTGTCGTTACTTGACTTTAAATAAATTTACAACTATCGGATTTACTAATTTCAATCTTTGAACTAAATTAAGATAAAAACTGTACGTTTTAATCATCAAAAAATTAATATGTTACTCTAATGATGAAATTTGTATCTGTGACTATGCAATTTTATATACTTACAAATGCTTAACGTATCCATCCGCCAGCCTCGAAAAAAAAAACTGCAATGACAAAATGAAGGAAATTATTTTTATTTACACAAGAAGTAAATTTAAGATGATTTCAATTATATTATACATTTTGCAAATAAGTTTAATTATCAGCTGAAGGGCATTGAACTCAACGAAGCATGCCGAAAAAATTGGATGACCACGACAAAGTCAATTGAGCAAAAGAATCTTTATTACAATGAGTCAAAGACAGCGATTTTTTAGGCGATCCGATATAAAGCAAAGGCGAGGGGTAAGCCAAAATCATGGCAATCAAGTCTGCTGAAGCAATTTATTCATTCTTTGTTCTGTCTCATTGTCTACATGGCTTTCGTATTAATTCTTAAAAAAAAAAACACATAATACGGAGAGAAATATGTATGTACAGAAATGTATGTGAATTGTTAACGATTGCTCGAGCTGGGCCTCGACTGCTAACAGAAAGTACATTGGAATTGAATATTTAAATGCATTTGCCGACTGGAGACAGACAAGGACTGGCAAGTGGTCAGATAGCCACGCCGAATCAATTCCCAGGTCCCCGGTTCCCGTTCCCCGGTCGCCGGTCGCCGGTCGCCGGTCCGGGAGGGAGTCGCATGTCGCATGCAAGTGCAATAAATAAGAATCCAACTGACAGGCATCATTTTGAATTCCTGCCTGTCACACGACATCAGCGTCGAGTGCGTCATGAATGATTTACAATGTATACATTATCATGTATGAGTGCGAGTATGAGTACATATGTGTGTACATATGGACGACATTTGAGAGTTGAACTTTGATAGTTTGTAAGATCTTGCAGATCTATCAATAGGCCACAACACACGTCGTGTTGCGGATAAAAGATACAGAGTGCCTCATTTTAGCGACCTCGAAATCATAATTCACCGTTTAATGTTTCTTTAAAGGCCATTAAGTCAACTCTCGACTCTCTTCAGGTCCAGGGACAACCACTTTCGTTTTTCCACTTAAAATGTATAATTGCAACTCTTTGACGAGCGCCGAGTGAAAAACATTCGAAATGAAACGTAAAGAAACGAAACCGTACGCAAAATCCCACCCAGCCCATAAAATTTGTGCGTTCCACGACTCTTTTGGGTTTTTTCGATTTCTTAAATTTTCACTCTATTTGCTTTCCGCAACACAAGCAAGCATGACTGAAGTAAAAACAAAAAACAAAAAAAGGCAAGAAGAAGGCAAACGGTCATTAAAACTGCTTTACGATCTCTAAAAACGAAAACGAGAGTTCCGCATGCAGCCAGAGGACAAGTTCAGAGGCAAGGCACTTTGTGTTTGAGTTCTGGTCGGGGTCGGAGTCGGAGTCGGAGACGGGCACTGGGAGAGGGACTGAAACTGGCTAGATGTTCAGGAAACTAGTGGAAGGATTAATATTTTAATGGGCCAATTTTCTGGGCGTTTGCTGAATTTTGCAACAATTTCTTTTACGATCGCTCAACGTACAAGCGACTGTCTAAATCATATGCCATGGATAGAAGCATGTAAACTGAATGGTTTTTATATTTCTGCATTCATTCAATCGGATATTCGGCTAAGGCATTGCAATATTTATATTTGAAAATCGTGTCAATTTTCCTAAATGAAACATGGCTAGCGGGTTTTCCAGATTATTAAAGAACCGATTATAAAGGTTAAATCGAAAAGTTCTAAGCCCATTTCTCGTGAGTCCAATTCAAAGAAAGTGTCATATATTCTGAACTAATATATGTATACACGGTCTTACCTATTCAACAATGCGGACCACTGTGACGGGCCTAAAATTAACGAGTGTGTAAAAATAAACTTATATCATATGATTTGTATTCAAAAATAAAAAAAACAAAATGCAAAAGAAGCTCTTCAAAATTGTATAACAATAATGCAAATTAGATCATCCGCATAAAAAGGTGATTTCGACAAACAAATAAATGCAAACGCATATATGAGATTATGTATGATATTTGTTGGTGTATTTTTGAGTTGGAAAAGCCAATTCGGTATTTATATCGGAGTGCAAGAACCTAAAGTAAGGTTATAAGTTGTTGTGAGCTTGGAGAAATGACTTTCGCTTGGAAAAAAGTAAAAAAATAAAAGCATATAAATATTTATATATAAATAAATATATTAAATCGATGTAAAAAACAAAACAAATAGCTTGATTCCATGTGATTGGTAAAACCGATCCACGATTTCTTTGACTACATCTACGATTTCATATTGATTTAAAGCACATTTTTGCAGTTGCTTAATTTAAATTTAATTATTTTTTTTTACGATGTTGTGTTTGATTTTGATAGAAGTGTTTGAAGAAGAACGTAAGCAATACACCAAATTTTATTTTAATTTTAAATTCATTGTATGATTTGTGCATTTTAATAGTCTATATTCCAAGTAGATTGCAAACCGATGCTGTTACGTAAAGTAAAAAAATGCCAATAAAGATTCGGGTATTGTTCCAAGCTTTTATATTGTTTTAACTGTACCCTACCGGTACGAATTTTACAATGTTTTTGACATTGAGGCGTCAACAGGTTGAGGATATATTATCTTAAAGCCCTACTTAAAATATCAGTTAATTCTTGCTGGAACCTGAAATTCTTGCTGGAACCTGAATCCATTAAGGATTGGTAAGTTACATTCTTGACCGGGATCAACAGCCGAGTCAACCTAGCCACTTCCATCTGTATAAATAAACGGATATCCGAGACTATCAAAGGTAGAGGCTTCGATTTTGGAATAGATGTTCTCGTATCTCAGCATCGGCACACACACATTAACATAAATAACCTAAGTAAAAAGATTGACCATTGTGATATTCCGCTACGATGTTTTTGATTCCATTCGGTCTTTTCGCATCAAATAATATCACTTCCGGTATTTGGGTAAATAAATATTACATTTAGGTTATAATTTCAAAGTGATTTCGGTTCTGAATTTCAATTAGCAATAATGCGATACCGAATTCAATTCGGTTCCAAATAATGAGTCTCTAGTTTCAACAGCGTCTTTGCAAAATTTGTTTATAATAATTGGTTGTTCTGTGATCAGAATACGTAAAAAGCCCTTGGCACAAATACTTAAAGCAAAGTGTAAATACAAACAATTACAATGTTGTTTTTTTTCTGTGCATCGCGGCTGCATTTGATAAGAGCTAGAAGCTCCTCCGCCTCCCATAAGAGATCTCCCCCAGTGACTGTCTGCCATTTATGTGCGGACTGAAAGCGCCTAAAGTAAACATTTAATTGCGCCATTAATTGCGCGGTAAGTGTGCCAGATGCACATGCTTTGCGGTTGCAAGAGACAGAGAGACTCTGCCGCAGGCACATGCACAAGGTGCAACCGAGACGCCGACTGCGACTGCCCCTCGCCTCGCCTCGCCTTTCCCATTGCCAGCGGGCAAACAAAACAACAAAAACAAACAAATTCCATTATTTAAGTGCTGCTCAGTGGTGCATTCGCTGGTCGCAGTCGCAGTCGCAGTCGCCTTCTCAATTCCCATTTTGATTTCCCTCTGCCCTAACCCACTGGCTTTTACGAGCGTTCCTCCATTAAAGAGCGCTGTGTTGGAGTCTTGCTCCTCGATAGTCTTCCCCTCTCGGCAGTGCCCTGGCGTCCACCTTGCATTCAAATCCAAGTTACAGCTGAAACTTTAGGCGCATTAACTTTGTGTGTTAATGCGAAAATTTATTGGCAATACAATCGACGTTTTACGATCCTTAAGTTGACAGTTTTTGTCTTTAGTTGATGCCTAATTGTTCCTCTTGTTGTTCTTTGTGCCGTGCTTTTTCTTCCACAAGCCGTGTCGTTTTAATTTTACAAAAATTTAAATTTCTACATAGCTATTAGAGCAAATTAAAGCATATAAAAAAAATTAGAGCAAACTCAAACATATACATAAATGTATATCTAAATTTAGATTAACTGCTTCATTGTAATGAATATGGGAAGAGGGGCTAGGAGACAAAGAATTTTTTATGAGTTAACTATTCAATAAAATCTATTCGAAATTTAATTCACATTTTGAATAATAAATGGCATAATTTAAAATGTAATGGGTTTTAGACTATCTCACTTATTAATAATTACAGGGATAGATGATCTTTCTGTTATTATTCAGTTAGTATTTATTCATATCTAAACCATATATAAACTCTAATACAAGGATACACATCTTTGCTTTTATTTAGTTAGTACATATCTCAACAATATATGACTTCAAATGCTTTTAACGTATATTTTAGCTACTAAGAGAAATAAAAGCCTGAACGAATAGGAAATATATTTCTTGGTTGTTTTCTCCTCAGTTTAATGTATCAATTTTTGTTTTATAATTTTTAATTTTGCTGATAACACATCAAAACATTTAGGCTTACACATATATAATATTGAAACTTCGATATCTTTTACTATTCAAAACATGAATAATATTTTCGCATGCAGTTTGGTTTGGCTATCCTAAGTAATTCATACTGGTTATATTTTTGGTCTAATTGGTATTTTTCTAGGTCTTTTTCTCTTCCCAATCCATGCAACTAATGTTGGACCAGTTTGCATTTAAATACCCCAGAATTCCCATAAATACATATATATATATATATATAAGAATAAGATTTTATTATTAATTTATTTAATTCATTTTTTGATATTTGTATTTTTCTGTGCCCGATTTTAGTGGGCTTTAAAAATATAAATAAATAATAATAAACCAAGTGGTGATTTTTCTTAATTTAAGTTTAGCTTTAAGTTAACAATTTCTGTGTAAGATTCATGTTAAGAACTGTTGTGTTGAATGTTATCGAATAATATATTGAAACTAGTTCTTTAATAGCTCGAGGATAAAACCATCAGTGGATCCGAATACAAACTGTTTGCAAAAATTGCATTTATTCTTAAGGAAATGAAGGTGGGAAAGGCAGTGTCTGGACAAGGCAGCCCATCAGCTCGGGAATGCTTGGGTCCATTTAGTTAATCGAACGGAAAACCAAACAAAGGCCGCAATTAACATTAAATCCTTC